ACCTTTCTCAAAATAACGACAACCCTTAAACAACTTATCAAGTGACTTATAAATGTCATCCTCATCTTTTGGCCCTTCCTGAGAAGTGTTAGATTTTTCTAAATTCTCAAGTGACTTGTTCTTAGCCACAGATATGAATGCCATATAATTCCTTGTCTCATTACGAGTGGATTTTTTTACTTTTATTATCCGAGCTAGACTCGTCATCGATGAGAGTAACATTTAAAGCTTTGCCTTGAGTTTTCTTATAGTTAAGACACTCAAATTTAAAATGACCAATACCTTATCACTCATTACACCTCATAGACCTCTTCCAGGATTCTCAAGTATTACTGACTACATGTAGAGCTTTCAATGGGGCCATGTGGAAGCACCGAGTGCACACTTGTGGCATTCAATTAAGAATAAAGAAATGAATATTGGTGGAAGCCCTATTCTCATCCTAGGTCCACTGTTGAAGTGTTCTCGTTATTTGGCCGAAGTGCATTTTCTCCCTTCTGTCAAACTCCTTCACACCTGAGGTCCATGGCTCTCAAGAGTAGGTTTGAAAGTGTATCTTTAGGAATGATTGATATAATGTTTTCATTAAATAGCCTAAGAGTGTAGGACGACTAACCTCTTGTCAAATGTGTTTGTTAATATAATTAATATAAGACATGATGGTATGACACCCAAGTCTAGTAGATGAGGCCACGTGGATCTGGTCAAACGGTGACTACGTCGACCTAGTTACTTAAATAGCAGTCATTGGAACATTTTAAGGGAATATATAAAAAGGAGTATAATGATTTCTTTGAATAGTTGCTCTTTTTAAGTTCTCTCCTTTGTATACATTTTCAATCTTGAACATCTTGTTAATGACCTTAAGTATATTTAGCTGGAAACTGATTACCCAATCGAGCATCCGATCACAATTTTGTGAAATCTGTCCATGTTCATTGTATCTAGGAGTGACACCTGTTGGCACATTTTTGGAGGACAACATTACTCTTCTCACACTTTTCTTTCCTAAATGTACTAGAGTCACCTTTAAACCTCTTAGTAGGTCTCTTCTTATTCTTAAGAAATTTCTTGAATATCCTAACAAGGCAAGCAAGATCCTCATCCTTAAGTTTTTCATCATCATTGGTCTCACTCTCAGTTTCCCTAACTGTATTGAGGGCTATGGATTTGTCTTTCTTAGACTGAGGTAGGCTAAGTTCATAGATTTGGAGAGATCCTGTAAGTTACTCTATCTTAATTGCATCTGGGTCCTTACTCTCTTCAATAGCTGTTACATTAGATCTATGTTTCTCAGGTTGTGATCTCATAACCTTTCCCACTGTTTTAGCCTATGGAATTCACTCGTCTAAATTAAAGCTAGAGCTGACTATATCGATCAATTTAGCATAGAATTCATCAAAAGACTCATCACTTTTCATCCTAATTTCTCAAGTTTAGTAGTCAACATCTGCAATTTAAAATTGTTAATAGCCTTTGTTCCTTCATGTGTAGTCTCAAGAATATCCCAAACTTCTTTAGCAATCTCACATATTGATACATGCCTAAACTCTTCAGGCGACACAGCTATAAATAGGGCATGAAGCCTTTGCTATTCCAATTACACTCAACCAAATTAACCTTAGAGAAAGTAGAAATATCGATAGGTGTAACTATACCTGCAACAGTAGTAGTAGGGGTAGTCCAACCATTCTGAACACTTACCGAAACACACTCATCCATAGATTTAAAGAAAGCTCTCATCCTAACCTTCCAATATACTAATTACTACCATCAAAATAATCAGGAACGGAATGTGATTGACTCATCTAGACAAATAGGGTCCATGAACGCAATTGAGGGATACCACTTGAAAGTTTAGATTATTGATCTATTTAGACCCAACGTGTGAAAATAATCAATTAAAAGCAACAAGTCATTTTTTAATTGTTTCTAGATGATTAGATAAAACGAGTCAATTTATTCTATATTTGAATACCACAGTTTGTGAATCGCACAAAAGCAAATAACACCAATATGATCATGAAGAAAACCATTCACAAAGGATCAAAAACTCTTTACACTTTCCCAATCAACAGTCTACTAACAGTATGTTCCACAGCCAACTAACCTTTAGTCTCCTTTGACCTTCTTCCTATAATCATATTGGCTCTCTTGGACTACGTGTTCCTCGCATCAACTCCCAACCCCTAGTATCGTTTATCTCCCGTGGATCTCCAAGAACAAACCCTGTTCTTCAACATCGAAACTATAAGTGCTTATTTTTGAAACTTCGATAACTCTGAAAGCTAATTGGTGAAGGTAAGTTTTGGTGTTTGATCAACGATCTTGTGTTTTGATCTGTGGTTTAATGTGAAGGTTAATGGCTCGATCAAAAAATCTAAGTTTGGATAAATTTATAGCTCAAATAATATGGTAGTGAAATCTATGAATCTATGAAAGTGTGTGGGATCTAAAAGAAAAAAAATGATATCTATGGAAAAATATGATTCAATACAGGTCGGGATGTTCATGGAATAGGATATATATAGGGAAAAGGTTTTTAGGACGAAAAGTGATTTCAAATCAAGTGTTTGAAGCGAAATAGTATTGCTAGACGTCAACCATTGTTCGAGCGCTAGGTGGGCAGTGCACCTGCCACTTGAGCACTAGATTTGATCTGCTGCTCAAAAGCCAGTCTAGCACATGGCAGGCATCAATGGTTTTGCTTTCGCCGCTCGAGCATCGATTGGGCGGCAGGCTAGCAAAAAAGTGTCATTCTTGATATCAAATTCTTCAAGTCCGAATCTCGATCTTTTTCTTAAATGTCTTTGACATTTTTTTTTTTTTGTATTAAAATAACCTATCAAGCCCAAACTATTTTTACAATAATATAACCTTTACTAAACCTATTTTGACTTTGCTTATTCATAATACAATTAAACTAAAATATGATTTTGACTTAGGAATTGTCAATTACAATTTTGAATTAACAAAATGCATGAAAACCAAATTCTTAGTTGTGGTTAAATTTTATTTATTTATTTCAGTTGTTGATTTGTAAATTATCCAGATTCTGATCCAACAAATTACTTAATTACTCTATAAGTTCATTTTTATTTTCTTCTTATTTACTGCATGTTTGACAAGGCTTTTAAGAATTGAGACTAAGAAGCTAATTTTAAATCTATGTGAATAATTTTTGGAAGTATTTTACTTGGATAGACAACTTTTACAGAATGCTGACTCTTCTACACAAGCAAAATCAAAAGCCTTGCAAAAATTAACCCTTAATTTTTTTGGCTCAAACTTAGCATCGTCTCCAATGAAAATAGCAAATTAAATTGAACTAATCAATACTATGTTGAAGCTTTATAGGAATTAATTATGTTGATTATTGCATATTAACATCATAATTATCAGGCAATTTTTTTGCATTTTTATACGTAAAAATTAGCATTGTTCTCCAGAGAAAATGACAAATTAAATTGAAACAAATGCTGGAGCATTAGAGGAATCAATGATTTTTTTTATTGCTTATAATTAACACTATTACGCACGGTGTCTTCTTAAACTAATATGTGTTGTTGCCTTTCTAAAATAAGTTGAGCCCATTTGATTTTACCCTCTAGTTTATTGATAATTTATTTTATTCTCATTTGATGCTTATAGCTTTGTCCTATTACAATTCTTTAATCTCTGGATCAAGTCTTGATTTTAATTATCTTTATAAAAGACACAAGTAGTTGAGCTTTGTAACCCAAAGTATAATTATTTCAACCGTGCTAGTTGTACAGAAGGGCCTTTACACCATTCTTGACAAAGTAGACACAAGAATGGGTGGGACCTTGATTTTTTACATTTTTTATTCATGTGGGGTCGGCTCGAATTCCACACGAATGTGAGTATCTGTTATCCAATATGTCAAGCATTTTTTGGTAGATGAGCTTTATTCTAATTGTTTAAGCATATACATAAACATTGTCTCATTTTCAAACTTCCATTCATTTACCCGAATTAGCTACTATTGCATTAGATGTTGAGTAAAGTAGAAGGTCGATATTCATATACGACACAAAAGGTATTTGTAAAATTGATAAAACGAAAATTTGCAAGCATCGAGCAATTGAAGTGGATGAAAGATATAAATGTATCTGTATATGCTCTATCGAAAAAGAAGTGACATCATTTAAAATGATTTGGATTAAATTTTCGTAAATTTTGCTTTAACTATTAGCATTTAAAAAATTTAACAATGCAAAAAGTTTACCACACTAATACTTTGCTTTTTTTGTCTACCATTTTTTCACATTCTACCACATTATTTTTTCTACAGTACTCATTTTCAACTACACATTCTTCATTAAAATAATAGTACACGTAAATCAAAAAAATTTCCTTCTTTTTTAACTACACATTTCAACATCAATCACTACTCCATAATATATTACTCACAAATATGGGGCACAAACAAGCACTTAATGATAGTCTTGCGCATTTTCCAAAAAAATAATTTTTTTCATAAAATTTATTTTGCGATGAAGCTATTTACAACTAACCAATTAAGAATGAAAGATGCAAGCATGGTTTGGGAAGGGATTTTATACCATATGGACGTGATGTCTGATTGAAAGGGTAAACTCATTAGTATATTTATTGTTAATAGAATCGTTACTATTTGACCTTTAAAACATAGGAAATTTCAATTTTGGGTTGTGTTATAACGCTCGGTTACACGCCCCTTATAGCAGGGGCTTGCGATTTTTTTATTCGGTGCGAGGCCCCCTTCTTGTGAAGGGCATGTCAATGCCTAGATACAACTAGCAAAATTCAATATTTTAAGATAATTTTACCCTTAAACAGAAGGATGGAAAATCGTACGCAAGTTAAAAGGAAGGGAACATAAGTACACAAATAGAAGTTTTGGGACCTTAAAGGAATTTACTTTATTAAATGAGTCTTCGCCGGAGAGGCCAAAAAAGAACAAAATTAACCGCAGGAGAAGCACGTGTGCAAACGCAAATTGTAAACTAAACTCACTCCACATTTCTCACATTTACTTGACCGAAGGCACCCCACCATTATATCCCCTATTATCCTCTCTCGCTCTCAGCCTCGTCTAGATTTATTTAATCGCTTTATCATCAGGTATGTAATTATTCAATTGAATAAAGTTCTGGAGAAGTTAATTTCTTTTTAAATAGAAGTGTTGATGGATTATAGTTGAATTTGAACTGTATTTATGGATTTCCTTTTCGGGATTTATTTTCATATTTTGCTTAATTTTGCGAGTTTGCAAGCTGTCATTTTTTTTTCCTGTTAGTTATTAATTATGCGTGTTTTTATTTGGAAGCAGATCTTATTTATAATCAAGAGAATATGGGTAGTGAGTTTCGGATTTTGTGAATTTGACATACGGATCGAATTAGTGGTGAGCTGTTTATTAATAGAGGTTTTATTAATTCAAGTGTATGATTATTTCCATACATAGCGCTTTCATGCCATTTGACTTAGATTCAAGCATATCTTTAAACATTGAAGAACCCCAATTTTTGAAGGGGTTTCGTAACATTGTAAAATGTCTAAAACATATATAATGCTCTTCACACTTTGTGCATTTTATTTATCAAATATCTTTCTTTTGTTGTCTAAATGGTAAAGTTGATAAATATGATGTGTCAAATACCTTTAACTTTAATGAAATTATGTAGTTGTGGGAGATCATGATCTAGCATTCTTGTTGAACTCGGGCTTCCTTGTTTTAGTTATATCATATAAGTGAAAATACTAGTGAATTTCCAAGTGATTGATTTAGACTGCTACTATTCCCTAGTTTTGGGTCCGTTATCTTTTTCCCTATTTTCAAGCTGATAATACACAAGCCACAGGCCATCTGGATTATATTTCTGTTACATAATTCCAGTTTCTTTCTTTATGGCTTACTTGTTGATATGATGATATGTGCCATATTCTATGATCTAACATGGACTGTATATTTAGAGAAGTTGGGCTTTCGTTAAACCTCTTTTAGTTTTATTTTGAGGTACCAGTGATGTGAGCAAGGAGGTGGCTGTACCAGTTGTATATGTGAATATTTTTACGAATTTGTGGTTCTATCAGAATGGCGGATGATAATGCCCTTGATCTGACCTTGGGTCTGCCTTGTGGTGGTGGGGGTGGGGGTTCCTCAGTTAAAGGTAAAATTGGCAGCTCATCTGATACTAGATCAGATGAACTTGATAGAGGTAGCAAAGTAATTGACAAGTTCAAAAACTTTCTGGAAGATGGGACCCAACAACATCCCGTGAAAACAGAAGAGAATGTCTTTAATAACTTTCCAAAAGCCGCTGTGGATGTGGAAACGTCTAAAAACTTGAACACTGGAGGGTTATGGGTTACAAATGATTGCAGGTCTACATCAGTTGAACAAGAAAAGAGATCAGATGTTAGTGAAAAACGCAAAAGCTTGTTTAGTGAAATGAGTCAACAAAAGAAACGTGAGACAGAATCTCATCATCCTGATTTGACCGATAAGCCCAAAGGATCCCACATTTCCATATCCACTGATGAGGGATCAACTGCAGAAAATGAAGGTGTAGCTGATTCTGAAGTGGAGGGATCAAGTATAAGGCAGGTTTCTCAGCATGATGACAGCTCAAGACGGTTTGTAGACGGTGGTGGTAAGTCCAGGGTTCATAAGGAGGTTCATGCATTTTCTGATTCCAGTGGTTTAGAACTTTTAGGACAGAATAGATTTACCATTTCATCAGAAAAGGAATTTAATATAGGGAACATGTCCACGCACTATCGTGTCCCATTCCCAGCTCAACCTGTAAACATGTTGAATGTGCCTTACTCTCAATCTGTAAAGGATTATAACCCTAGCAGTACTCCTAGTTCCTCTAGCTATCCTTTACATGGCATGATGCATGTGATGGGTGGCACAAATAACGAGCGGTCAGGCGTGATGTCTGCAAACTTGCCATTGATGTTTGGGTACACTCCAGTTCAGCTTCCAACACTGGACAAGGACAATCTGCAGGGTCTTGTTTCTCATCATCAGCAGCTTCGCCCAACTTATACTGGAAGGGATCAAATAAACTTGGACAAGGGCAATGATGGGCCAAAGATAACTCAAGGTTTTTCTTTAAATCCTTTATACTTATCTGTCATTTTTATTTTAGCCCCCAGCTCTCAGAGCACAATTCCCACATCATTTGTTTTCACTTAACAAAAGTTCATGCTTTTAGTTGAAAAAACTGTTATTGCCATCCGTATTTGGTTTTGCATGAATGAATTATTTGGTTTTACAAGCAATATGGGTTGTATATAGGTGAAGACAAGTCAAAATTTAACTTTTTAGGTTTAATAAGATCTGATTTGTAAGATTGAGAAGTTACATGGAAAACATGTAATTTTAATTTTAACGAGCCAACAACTACATGATATGTTTTTTATTTTTTTTTTATTTTTTTTTTAAATCAGTGTATCTGGTATTGTTATTAGCAACTAACAATCTAGTGTGCTAGTCTCCTCTAATGTCGACTTTTGAAGATGTTGATATGCACATTGGGAGAAGTGTAAAATCACGAGAGGCAATATGTTATTTCAATCCATTGATTTCATGGCAAACGAAAATTTATTGGGTTGTTTAGGACACTGGCCACACTGTACAGAAGGAATTTTGGTTGAGATGGGAACATTTGATGGAGAAAAAGTCAGCACTTAGTTTAGCTCCCCCCTCTCGACTCCCTTCTGTCCTACCCCTGGCCTGGTGAATGTAGCTTCAATATCAGAGTGGTGGAAATTAATATCTGGAATATATTATTATGCTTTCAAGAACCATGAACCTAAAATATAAATGAAATAGGATATGAAAACTGCTATATTTTGGAATTGCGTTCAAGAAAAGCTTAACTGAATTGTAACCACATTTATAAAGTGATTATACCTGCAACTTAACAAAGTTACTTGTTGCAGACTTTGTGCATTATTTTACCTTTTTGGGGACATTCTGCTTAGGTCTTGTTGAAAGAAGGTGGGCGTTATTTACTTGCAAAGGCTTTGACTAATTATTGCATATAATTTGGAAGATATTGACATCCTGCTATGTGGTTCATGGAGGAGGTTTTCTCCTATTGGTTTCGTCAGTCTGAATTTAGGAATCAAACGATATGTATAACTATCCAAACTAAGCTTGCATAAGAGACATTTAGTGTCATCTGAGTCTGTCAGGGACCACCAACTATAGTTTTCAGGACATTTCTTTATTATTATTATTACTATTATTACCATCATCATCATCATCATTATCATTTTTTTTATTATTATTATTATTTTTTATTTTTTTATTTTTTTTGAAGGAACTAATCGATGTGAAAGTAAATTATACTTCTCATAACTGATTAATGGGCCTTGATGGACGTAAATACTGGACAGGAGTCCAGGTATTTTCTTTTGTTACTTTTTGGAGTAGAGAGCGAACTATTCTAGAAGTGTTGAGACAATCTGAATGCTAGCTGGCAGGAGCAAAGGCCGACAAATTATGTTAATAAGCAGGGGACGTGGGATGGGGTATGAGTTTGAGGTTCAATATCGTTCAGGAATTGAAAATAAGGTTGTAGATGAGTTGTTCAGATTCCCTCCAATAATTCTTGGTCCTCAATTTTCCAAGCTTTCTATGCTCAAGAAAGTGCTACAAGAGGATTAGGACTCGAACCCATATTATTTGTCAGAGCAAAGCCAACTACTCCAGCAAGGGACAATTGGTGCTTCTGTGTTCTTCCTGTTTGATTTCGACACTACTAAATGAGTTTCATAGCAGCTCCACAGGGGTCATTCGGGGTTCATTTGGACTTACAAGCGCTTGACCAGCGGTCTCTATTGGACATCAAGTGGTTTGTTGAGGAATGTTCAGTGTGTCAGCAAAACGAGTCTTGCGCTTTCCCTGTCCAGCCTTCTACAGCCCTTACCTAATCCTCACTTAGTATGTGAGGATATTTCGATGGATTTTGTTGAGGGACTTCCCAAGTCCGGGAGATCTGATTCGATTTTGGCGGTGGTTGACCGCTTAAGCAAGTATGTCCATTTTGTGCCCATCCATCAAATCATATATTCACCACGTCTGAGTTTTTCAGCTTTAGAGCACCTATCTTCGTCGACAAACAGCATACCACTCCAGTTGACAAAAGTGTCTGTGGTGGAACAGCAACTACGCGATCAAGATGCTATACAGGGTCAGCTGAAATGCCACTTCCTTTGCTGTCAGGCAAAAATGGAGGCAGCCGCTGATCGACATTGTCGAGATGTCCATTTCAATAAGGGTGATTTGATGAACATGAAGCTCCACTCTTATCACCTCCTCTCTTTGGCTAGGAAGCGTACTGAGAAGCTTGGCCTCAGTATATCGGCCTGTTCAAGTTTGTGAAACACACAGACCTTGTTGCCTATTGCTTGGAGCTTCCCCCTATGGCCTCTATTCGCCCTGTTTTTCATGTGTCTCAACTGAACAAAGCACTTGACTCGAGACTCGACCATGCCAATAGTATCTGCCACCCTCGATTCTTATCTGGAATGGATTGTGGAACCCGAGAAGTTCTTCTGAATGCGCTAATCCCTGGTGGGGCAGCCTCCAGGATGCATGGCTCTGATTCAATTGAAAGGACTGCCCGGCTTTAAAGCTTCCTGTAACCGATGGCATCTATCATCCAACACTTCCTTGACTTCTATCTCGAGGACAAGGTGTCTTTGGAACTCGGGGGTGTTGATAGGCCTCTCATTTGGTAAACTTATTCTAGAAGGTCTAGGAAGATCTGAATGCCAGATGGCACGAGAGAGGGCAACAAATTCCGTTAATAAGCAGGGGGACGTGGGCAAAGTGAGGGGAATATATGTGATAAGGTGGGACCATTGTAAGGCAATGCCCTTTTTAGTAGTTTTTGAGATACTGGAGAGAAATACCCCTCTCGAAAATGCCATCTGTTTTTTTTTTTTTTTTCCCTGTTTTTCTTACTATCATCATTCATCAATACATTGCAACTATTTTTCTCATTCCAGCAAGCAATCCCTCTTCTCTTCATTTGAATCGCATGGAATTTATTAATACCATGATATTTAATATTAGACCTCAGATTGAATTTCTCCTGATTGATTTCTTTGAGATGGTTCACTAATTATCCAATCACGGATATCACTGAGTGCATATAAATTGCAAATGTGGTTCTGACTGTTTCTCATGCTTATGTAGCACCCATGCCAGTGATTTTGCACAAGTCATCGGATTCTAACGATGGGAAGGAAGTAGAACGTGCCAGAAGTAATGGAAAACAACATGTTGGAGAAGAGGGCTCCTCCTTGCACACAGAAGGTGATCTAAAAGGAATTGACTTTCCAGCTATTCGACCAGGTATTGAGGCAGACCTGAAATTTGGAGGTTGTGGGTCCTATCCAAATCTGCCATGGGTTTCGACTACTGGTTCGGGTCCAAGTGGAAAAACAATATCTGGTGTAACTTACAAGTGCAGCCCTACACAAATAGGGATCGTTTGTGCATGTCATGGATCCCACATGTCTCCCGAAGAATTTGTTCAGCATGCAAGTGAAGAGAACCCAGAATCTGGTGCTGGTTTACCATCATTTCCAAGTAGCACTCCTGCAGTCTAAGCGCAAATTGGATTTTGGCATTGAAATTCTTCATAATTACTGAAAATGTTTCTGCTCTGCCGCGGTCAATAGTTTTGACACCTAACGTAAGCAAATATATGCATTTGGTTCTGTATAATGAATAAGATGTTGCGTCTATCACTCTCCAATGTCTACGATTTTCCTTTGTAGTCCTGTGTCTTTGCATCTTAGTTTTGTGTAAAATCTATCGTTTTTTTTGTCAGACAGATATAAGATATTCTCTTTTTCTGCTGTGGTAATGTTTGAATGACAATAATATATCTATCTTTCTATACTTAGCACTGCGAGGTAAGGTGCATCGATTTTTCTTTGTACCTTTGTATCATATTGGCATGCTGAGGGTAAGGAGCAATTAAATGATGATTTGTGATTCTAATTGGTTCATTCTGGTTGAAATTGGGTAGCCACAGGGTAAACATGGTTCTAAATGGAGGGAGTGCATTCCTACTGCATATTTGATACGCAGTATTGAGTATGTTTAAATATTAATAATTTGTTTGCTATCGATTTTACTTATATTTTTACCATGCAATATTGAGCATGATCGCATAATTCAGTATTTGCTATTTGTTTACTCATATTAGTTACACAATATTAAGTCCTTGTTTGTGCCCCATTTTTTAATTAATATATTTTTCATGTTTCATTTTTAACCACACATTCATTAATAAAATAATATTATACGTAAATTTAAATTTTTTCCTTCTTTTTAAATCACTATTTCCTAAGGACATTTTACCCGAAGTAGAAGCCCAAAAAGAAGCACAATTAAAATAAATTTAATAATTAATATTTAATATTGAGCATGAATAAAATGAATTCAATATTTGCTATTTATTTTACTTGATAGTTAACATAAATTATTTATTTGGGTAAAAATGTAGGAATTTTTTTTTTTTTCAACTTTTGACCTACAAAAATATTATTTGCAACAATTTTACTTGTTTAAAGGTAAGTTGGTTAAGATTAGAACTATGCAAGTAAGAAATTACTTTAGACAATAATACATGGTTCAAATAAATTACTCACTTATTTTTAATTTGATGGACACTATAACATTAAGAAAATTTTTTTAATTAATTAATATATTTAAAAATTAATTAAGTAAAACAATTTCAAACCCTAATTATATCAATCTCAATCCCCCCCCCTATCTCTATTCACCAGAAGCTCGACTCTCTCAAGCGGCCATCAAAAGATCACGGTTGAGCAGTACCGCGAACCGTAGCAGGTGGTGGACGTGGAGATCTTGGTGGTGGCAGCAACTCGAAGAAATCAAGTCGCGACTATAGGAAAGACAGTGGTCTGACGGTTGCAATCAGTGATTTGGTGGATATCTAGGGCGAATGTGGTGGTGGTGGTGGAAATTGACTCATGATTGTGGGAAGATGGTGGTTTGACGACTGTAGTCGACGACTCGGTGTGGCAACGGTGAATGTGGTGTTAATGGTTGTGCAGTGGGTGAAGATGGGGTGTTGCGCAGTTATGTTTTTGAGGTGGTGGTGTTTGCAGTGGTGTTGCATGGTGGGTGAAGGGTAGGTTGCGGTGGTGATGGATTTTTTGAGGTGATTTTTTTCTCCAATCTAGGTGCGATGGTGATGGGTTACCTTGGTGCTAGATGTTGTTGGAGGTTTGTGATGATTTTTGTTGGTAGTGCAGGCAGAGGTGCTGCTTATCGCGGTAGATTTGGCAATGGTGGTCAATAGTGGTTTTGGTGGTCGTGTTAGTGGTGTGGTCACAAGTGTTGGTCACGGATTATTTGGTTAACTGTGGCCATTAAATTGGTTAATCTGTAACTAAAGAATAATGTGTGACCTAAAAAATTAATAATTTGAGACTGTGTAGTAAGTTGTAATTTATAATATTTGTGATATGTGATCTACAAATTTTTTTATTCGTGATCGAAAAATAATATGTGACCTATAATTTTTTTGATTTGTGATCGAAAAATAAGTTGTGACTAAAAATTAATCTGTGACTAATTAATTTTTTTATTTGTGACCGATGAATAAATTGTGACTTACAAATTTTTTGAATTGTAATTATAAAATAATTTGTGACATATAATTTCGGATTTGTGACTAAAAAATAATAAGTGTCTGATTAAATTGCTAATTTGTGACCAAATTGTATAAATATGCGACTTAAATATATTTAATTAATTTAATAATAAATAAATTTTAATAAACATCTGATTTTTGAAGTTTGAAACTTATTTTCTTAATTTTGAAATATGTCATATTGAATCTCTTACTTATGAAATTTTTCCATTCTTGAAATATGAGGACCATAAATACAAAATTTATGACTTTCATCCATATTTCGTTAGTTGAACAATAAAATTAAATTTGACCATTTTTTTAATAATTTTGAAGAGGGCAAATAATAAATTTGTATTCTTCACATAAAATCAATTAAACTAAAATAATTAAATCAAAAGATATATAAAAAAATAAAAATAAATAAAAAAATCCTCTTCTCTCACCCCAACGGCCCAACCCCCATGCACCGTACCCACCAAACCAAACCTTAAATAAAAAATAAATAAATAAATAAATAAAAATAAAAATAAAAATTCGATCACAATCCAGCAACCACCTACCAACACCACCCACACACACCCCACCCATCATTTGTAATATCACTCGATGAAGAATAATGCTATTTTTATACAATAGAACTATATAATAGTTTACAGACAGATAATATATTAAAAATAGAGCGGATAAGCTTTTTTTCTTTTTTTATCTGATTGAAGAAATCATGCCAAATCATATCCCATCATATTATGTGTAGGTAAATCATCATTTACATATAGCATAATAGCACAATCCAAAAAAGAAGCATTACATGGTGGTGCATTATTGGAATGGACAATAATTGCATTTAGAGATTGGCTTGGGCTTATCAAATTTAGAAAGTCAAACTCGCTTATATTCTTAGGAACAATGCCCTGTGTACAAGGCACTATTCTACAGGGAGCTTACAGGCCCCCTCATTGTAGCTGGCAAGTAGGTGGGGGCGATCTATATTAAAAAAATAAATAAATTGTGCGGGCCTCGCCTTTGTATGTGCCCTGAACGAGCCCTGTGAAATGCCCCCGTAAGTGAAGCATCGTCAATATTCTTAGCCCTTGTTTGAGCTCTCTTTTTCTTTAAAATATTTTTTCCAACAGTGATTTGATATCATTTCAATCACATTTTTCAATAAAATAATATTACACACAAATTTAAAATTTTTTCTTAATTTTTAATCACACATTCTCAATCATAACACTATTCAAAATGCATTTTATTGAGAAAAATGAGGCTCAAACAACCCTTAACGTACAATAATTATATTTAATATGTTGCATATTGCAAAACTCTCGCTTTTAAACCATTCAAATCACGTTTAAATTGACTCACAATTTACTTGTGAAAAATTATGTTAAATTAAAATATGAGCAAAAAGCAATAAATATTTCTTGAGAAATTTTAAATAATGAGACAAAAGAGGGAGCATGATTGAAGCATTACGATGATCACACTATTGTAAATAGGTTGGATTAGAAATAGTATCAATCAAACAAACAAACAGAATAAAGTATTATTCGCATTCTTTACTTTCTTATCGATATTTCTGCAAAATTCTCACATTTTCATTCTCCACACTGTTTATACTATACATAGAAAGATACAGCGATGGCAAGGGTAATCCCTATGGCGTTATCAATTAGACCCTCGCTCTCCTCTTCCAGTTCTCGCTTTGTTGTTTCTCGTTGCTCGCCCCCTTATCATCGCATGCTGAGTTTATCACATCTCAGCAGTGGTATTTTAATTCTCTCTTTTTTTTTTCTTTTTTTTTTTCTGGCAATTTTTTCTGGTTAAAGTCTCTTGTTTTTTATTCTAAATTCGAGTTGATTTTTCTTTCCGACGTTGCGTAACTCTGTATACATTTTCGCTACTTTTAGTATAATTAGGGTGGAGGTAATTTAATTTGTTGAGTATATTGTTTTAACACATTAATCTCATAAGTAGCTAGTGTTCCACAGAAAGCTGATTGAGGAAATTGCATTTTTCATACTCTGTATGTTGGAGATTCTAAGAAGAACCTGGCTGCTGATAGTAAGTAACAATTTGAGTTGGAAATTTCATATGGGCTTTTAAATGAATATACAATGCAAAGTTTGAAGCAACTCATTGTGGTTTCTGGATTCTAATATGCCCTAGTTCCATTTTTGCTGCATCATGATTAAATGCTTGAATTGCTTATGTCGCTCTACTTAACCGTTGGAGGTTTTGATTGTCAACTGAGAGCCTCTCCTTGAACGATCAGCTCTCTATGATGAAGCAGACGAATATGATGCGTGTTTTAGTTTTAACTCTAAATTTATTTTGTACATGGTTTTTTCTTCTCAGTTCGAGATCCTGGTCATTTTTAGATAATATTGGGGCATGGATTTAAAATTCAATGAAATGACTAACAAGTAACCCTAAGTACTCAAATGGCATTCTACAGTTTTATTACAACAGACAGCATTCAATTTCTGTTATGATGTTATTCGTTATTTATAATTATTGTAATTATGTCTCTGTTGATTTTGGATTGAAGTGTAGAGACTTCTTATTAGTAATTGGGATTCTAGGTAAAAAAAGAGTTATCGCCAACTTTTTATTCTTTCTACAATTAGATCTTAGGTCATCAAAGAAAATTCCTTCTTCGGTAGGAACCGCGAGATGGATAAATGTTACATGATGAATCAATCTCATTTTATATGTGCCTGTCACTTTATCTTCAATCAATGGTAAATCATACCTGGCACTAAAAAGAACTATGTTTTAATGGAGGTAATAGCAACACTGCTGCAAGTGACTGCTCAAGTTTCAGCCAAGAAACTGCCTCACTTGGTTGAGGAAAATCCAAATGCCTGAATATCCCTATATTCTACCCCATATCAAACGAGAACTAATATAATACACACACACACACACACACATATAATCCCACAGAGCCCTGAAGTTTATAGCCGAGTACTCACCTCAGTGGCTCCGAGGGGACTCGAATTGATAACCATTGAGGAGTAAACCTAAGGTCAGATCACTGAACTACCCATCAGGGTTATCAAACGAGAGCTAATATGAATAATCATTGTTCCTTCTTCTGTATCTCTTTTTATTTGGTATTACTCATATTATTTTTGATCTATGATCTTCTTTTCTTTTTAACTTTAAGAATCAAAAGATTGAAATTTCTTGTTAGAGTTCTGGAAGAGTGATCCTTCTAAATTCTTAGGCCTCATCAGTAGTCAAACCTTACCGCTCATGGTTTTAAATTGCTGGTGATGTAGAACGAGGCAGAGAAAGATGGATCAAGAAAGTAAAAATGAGAAGAGAAAATGAATGAAATTTAGTAGGATGAAAAACTTCAGTTTAATTGTATATCTAATTATTTTTAAAGTTGTGCGTCCTTTCTTATAGTCATAAAGAATTTAAAATAGAAGGAAACTTCTAAACAATGAATAACATCAGAATCTCACTAAAAAAATCTATTCTAAAAATAAAGTAAATTCCAAACAACTTTTTATATTTTCTAAAATACATTTTCAATTTTCTATAATACCTTCTAGCTGAAGAAAACTCGACTTCAGTGATTTAAACTCCAAATAGTTGTTTACAACTGATCAACAAGTTCGAACTCTTGTTCTATGATATAAGGATCTTCAGGGTGCGGACGTCGAACCAAACTTCTAATGTGAACCCATTTGATGTTGCTAAGTAGTAGTCCTTGATGACCTCAACAATGACATTTGGATTCGTTGAAGTAGGAGGAAGCTAGGAGCTCTTGGAATATGGTCAAGGGAACGAGTAAGCTCCCAATACTACTTGATGGAAAATGGAAAAGAGAAACCAGGAGAAAGAAATAGAGAAGGACAAGAGAAGAGAAGAAGAGAGAGATTGGGAGAAATTTGGGAGGAGGAAAATTTCATTTAATTGTAATTCCGTTTAATCCTCGAAGTTGTGTACAAACTGGAACCTCAGTTCTATTTAAATATTTGTAAATATTTTAAATTGAAGGTAACTTCTAGTAAATCTAATCACATTATAACTAATTAAACCAAATCACATAAAAGAAAATCTAATATGAAATAAATCTAAATTACTTTTTAATTTTCCTAAGCTAGTTTTTTAATTTTCTATCATTTGGTGGGCTACGGCTCAAAAGAAATATTGTTTTCTTGATAATCTTGACTGTTGTCCAGCGATGCCTCAGTTTCAATCCTTCGGGCTTACAACTTCAAAGTTATTTAGAGGAGAGGGTGGCAGGATATCAGTTAGTGCTGCTAGAACTGTGGCACAAGCAAGTACTGCTACTACCCAAGAAAATGTCTTAGATTGGGTTAAGAAAGACAAGAGAAGAATGCTCCATGTTGTTTACCGTGTGGGGGACATGGATAGGACCATAAAGTATGTCTTTTGTATACAATCATCTGCTTTTGATCTTGGGTGCTGTTTTTCTTTATCGAAAAGACTTGCTTAGTATAATCAAATGCCATCTGCAGATTTTACACAGAGTGTCTAGGGATGAAACTGCTTAGAAAACGTGACATACCGGAGGAAAGATATACAAATGCGTTTCTCGGATATGGTCCTGAAGATTCTCACTTTGTGGTTGAACTCACTTACAGTAAGCGTCAAACTTTTACTAAACTGTTATTTCTCCTCTTCTTTTGATTATAGTTGAATTATTGAATATGCGTTGCTCCTTGTCCCTTTTTGCAAGTACATTACTATTGCTTTTGTCAAGTTTACTTATCAGCAATAATGTGTTTTTAAATAATGCTTTCAGATTATGGGGTTGACAGCTATGAAATTGGAACTGGTTTTGGCCATTTTGGAATTGCAGTTGATGATGTGAGTTTGGTTTATAATGTATGGCCATGTAGTAGATATGATCTAAACTTTAAGATCTGTTTGATACACATAATCTTAAAGATACAAGCCTTTTCTTCTAATCACATTTTAACTTGCTTGCTTTCCAGTTGTCAGCATTGTTAATTTAACTATTTTGTTTTTCTACTTCTTTACATGAGGCACGGACATCACATACTGCCACAGAATTGTTTTTAGCTGCTTACATCTATCAAGCGTTGCTGATATATTAGGCCCTATCCCCCTGTAAAATAAAAAGAAATGAAAAGAGAATTTGTGAGTGCATTTTAATAGCTCTTGTTATTTATGTCGTTAGCGTTGTCCCTTGTGCACATTCTAGAACTATCTAGTTTCTTAGGTTTGCAAAATATTCAATTTTTACTGAAATCATGAGTGTATTATAATATTTCCTATATTGATTTGCTGATAGCAGTGGCCATTTTGCATGTTCTAGCACATGCTAGTTTTCGCTGTTTTAAAAGCTGATGAGTTCAGTGTCGATATTTAGTTTATGTTAAATTACAGTTGGTGTAAAAGTATGTTTGAATGATTTTTTCCACTCAGTCTTGACACACTCACATAATCTCACTACTCCCTTTAGAATAAATGAAATTGCTTAAATATTGTTGCCACTATGCTTAGATAACAAAGACTGTTGACCTCATAAAAGCTAAAGGTGGTAAAGTTGCCCGAGAACCTGGTCCTGTGAAAGGTGGCAACACTGTTATTGCATTCATAGAAGATCCCGATGGTTATAAGTTCGAACTTTTGGAGAGAGGTCCTACACCTGAGCCTTTGTGCCAAGTAATGCTTCGAGTTGGAGATCTTGATCGTTCTATTGAGTTCTATGAGAAGGTGAGATAGAAAAAGGCAATATCTTTTTATAATCTTTGAGGTATTTCCTGATGTATTACTCATCATTAACATATTCTTCATTTTAAGATTCTTTCTCTAATTTTTTATTACCAATTCCTTGTTCTACATTGTGCTTATTTTTGCCCAAAAATTTACTGGTAATATGACTTTATATTTTATTGTTGTTGTGGTGCCTTTTTCAGGCTTATGGCATGGAGCTTCTTCGCAAGCGAGACAATCCTGATTACAAGGTAATTTGGTTTTTTTTTTTTTATTTCTTTTGTTTCAGAGAAAAAATTTAATCATCCAGTAGATATTTTCTTTCAAGTATCCCCCAACCCCCAACTCCCAATCATCCTTCTGTCTGCCAGAATTTATGAGACATTATAATTCATCTAAGACTCTCACTTCAGCTTGCTCTCCCTTCTGCATCTCTGTTTCCTTTATTCCTGTGGAATCTTTTATGCCATATTTTGCCATAATGCTCGAGCCCCGTCTGGTTTCTGGTATATGTTAAAAGAGTTACATTGTTTGATTTCTAACTCCCTCTAGTTGCTTGTTAAACACTCATTAAGTCCATGTTTCGCCAATCTTTATAAAACTGTCTATAAGCGGTCCAACCACTTTCTGTCCACACATTTCGTGGAATCTACAAATACTATCCACTTACCCACCACGTATTTCTATAAATTGTAATTTAAACTGATTAAACAACTCCCATACATGCTTTAGTTGCATTTTTATTGCAAATTTATCAATGGTCTGCAGTACTTTTTGTCAGATCTATTTAGTTGATACACTCTCATAATAATTTCTGTGATGAAATAACCGATTCTGTAATTCCTTTTAGAAGCAAAGAGGGAGAAACTGTTTTATCATGAATTGAATTCGTCGCTGAGTTGTAGAGTAATATAAATAATTTGTGGGTTAGTTACCTATATTTTCCCAGAAACTTAAATTTAGTAGCTGGAATTTAAGTTGTTCTTAATTCATTTTTCATCATGATCAAGTTTTAGTGAACGCTGTGTACTTTTGTGAACATTTGGTCCACTATGCAGTATACGATAGCAATGATGGGCTATGGTCCTGAAGATAAAAATGCAGTAATGGAGTTGACATACAACTATGGGGTTACTGAATATGATAAAGGAAATGCTTATGCTCAGGTAAAATATTCTCTCAACCTAGCATTATTTTGACCCTCTGATGCTTAAAATGATGTAACTTTATCCATTGATTTGAAAATTTTAGTTTAATAAGCCGATTGAGTGTATGTCTTTTATCTGACAGATAGCAATTGGCACAGACGACGTTTATAAAACGGCAGATGCAATTAAGCTCTGTGGTGGAATGATTACCCGAGAACCTGGACCACTACCTGGTATTAATACCAAGATTACTGCATGTCTGGATCCTGATGGTTGGAAGACGGTATGCTTTTGGTTATAAACGTTTTTTCCTTAGTCTTCTTAGAAAACCATTTCACAACATTAAATTGTTGATTGGGTTTTGAGTATCATTTGTGCCGTGTCAATATATTCATCTTAGTTCTAGATCAAACTTTGTAATACCCTTTTAGTAGTGATAGTTTAAATAAGGAATTCAAGCTCTGATTTAAAATAATTTTCAGTAGTAAAGATGGAAATAGGTATAGATTTGGTCAAAATATTGAAATCTTTGATAGAATTGAAGTAATGTGATTTATAATGTGAATCTGAAGCTATTCTTTTAATTTGCTTGAATCTATTTATTCCTGCTGCAATCCATGTTCATATTGGAATTCTGGGACTCAAGTATTGACTGTCTAAATAATCTATATATTTGAGACATAATAATGTAAAGGGCCCTCAAATAATGGTAATAGAGAGCATAAGATGTTGAAAGTTTAAAATGCCTTGGCAGAATAGGTTGCCTATATGAAGTAGTGTTTTGGAGGGATTTCATACAAAAGTGAGACAGAAAATAATAATAAATAAAAGAAGTTATTGTATTTTAAGTTGCTGGTTCCATCCGAGGAGAAATCTAAAATATTATGCTGAGTGCTACTTACTATCATTGGAGTTGAACTTTATATTCCTCTACATGCTGACCGAAGTAAATTAAAATTTATATGTAAAAGAGAAACACCCTCAATTCATTATGATGAGCTCCATGTCAATATGGTGTGTTGAAAAGGTCTTTTACCAAAGCCCATACACCAAAACTTGTATGATATGAGATCAATTGTGAACAGTGATGACCTAGGTAGTAGTTGGGCTCTCTGGCTTAATTTAGAACAATAAACCAAACTAAGCATTTTTTCCATCGCCTTTTGAGTATCCTTTTTTCGCCACTCAGCTCAGCTCATTCTAGATGTATTGGAAGACTTAAAGCAACTAGATCCCTAAAAACAAAAACATATGAGTTTAGTTTGGGTCTACCACTCTATTTCCAACCTGTTTTATTTAGATGAACAATCTTGTGAACAATCAGCATCACTTTCACTTGTTGGCTTCAGCATCACTCTCACTTGTGGGATCGTGTTTTTATGTTTATCTTATCGATTTAGTATGAAAACATGTCCATCTTAGAAGTTGTCCAGTATAAATTAAGATGTTATCCCTACTATTTTGATTTAGTAATAGTTGTCTGTCTATCTCATTTTGAATGTTGCAGGTTTTTGTTGACAACATTGATTTTCTTAAGGAGTTGGAGTAAGCACTTGGTACAAAGTTGTCATGCCAATCCCCCTGAAAAGGGTCATATGTAGAGATTCACTATGCTTCCTCAGTTACATTGCTCTCTGGAAATGTTCCTTTAGAAGCATATTTTTACAGTTGGGCTGCATGATGCAAAGTTTGGCCGAATTTTTTTCGCTGCTCCATTTGAGCGACAAAAATTAATCGGCCATTGTGCCAATGCAGGAAAAGTTGGTCAATCTTTTTGTATATTGTATCATTTTCATGTCAAATGTTGATCAAACTTAGTCCTTAATGGGATCATGAAACCAATAGCAAGCACATGTATAACTGTTTGATTACTGTTATTCAAGATTGTAGCTTTTTTGTATAGCTCCAAGGGAAATGGTTTCAATAAGCCACTCAGAAATTTTTTACTCTTCATTATCTGCAGTCAACTTCCTAAGTATGTACACTTGACATCTGTGGGCATTGTTATGAACTGAAAATGATTTGTAAGAAGCACTGTGCTTGTGTGAACATTGCCATAGTGCAGACAACTCATCCTTCTAAAACAACCTTCATTTGAGTAGAAAATCGTGCTCGAATGATTAATGACCATGCAATGTTCAGTGTATGTAGTAACATCTCTTAGCACACAAATGTGCTCGTGCAGGTTTGGATCTAATGTTTTGAGTAGTCGAAAAATTAAATCATATTGATTGTGTGGGACTATTTTGGACCAATATTTATGGTCACATTAAATTTCATATAAATGTATCATATGCCATCTCTCTCACATTCTAAGTCATCATAACATCAAATAAGTTTGTTCACATAGTTACGTGAGATTGACAACAGATTATTTGGTCCTTCATATTGTGAGAATGTGACAATTGAAAGTGTTATGTACTGGTCTTTTGTGGGTGTGAACTGAAAATGATTTGTAAGAAGCACTGTGCTTGTGTGAACATTGCCATAGTGCAGACAACTCATCCTTCTAAAACAACCTTCATTTGAGTGGAAAATCGTGCTCGAATGATTAATGACCATGCAATGTTCAGTGTATGTAGTAACATCTCTTAGCACACAAATGTGCTGGTGCAGGTTTGGATCTAATGTTTTGAGTAGTCGAAAAATTAAATCATATTGATTGTGTGGGACTATTTTGGACCAATATTTATGTTCACATTAAATTCCATATAAATGTATCATATGCCATCTCTCTCACATTCTAAGTCATTATAACGTCAAATAAGTTTGTTCACATAGTTACGTGAGATTGACAACCAGATTATTTGGTCCTTCATATTGTGAGAATGTGACAATTGAAAGTGTTATGTACTGGTCTTTTGTGGGTATTCATTCAATTAATATTTAATTCGAAATTCAAGTCTGTTACCGTAAATATATATATATATATATATATATCTTCAATTCATTCAATTAATATTTAATTCGAAATTCAAGTCTGTTACCGTAAATATATATATATATATATATATATCTTCAATTCATTCAATTAATATTTAATTCGAAATTCAAGTCTGTTACCGTAAATATATATATATATATATATATATCTTCAATTCATTCAATTAATATTTAATTCGAAATTCAAGTCTGTTACCGTAAATATATATATATATATATATATATCTTCAATTCATTCAATTAATATTTAATTCGAAATTCAAGTCTGTTACCGTAAATATATATATATATATATATATATCTTCAATTCATTCAATTAATATTTAATTCGAAATTCAAGTCTGTTACCGTAAATATATATATATATATATATATATCTTCAATTCATTCAATTAATATTTAATTCGAAATTCAAGTCTGTTACCGTAAATATATATATATATATATATATATATCTTCAATTCATTCAATTAATATTTAATTCGAAATTCAAGTCTGTTACCGTAAATATATATATATATATATATATATATCTTCAATTCATTCAATTAATATTTAATTCGAAATTCAAGTCTGTTACCGTAAATATATATATATATATATATATATATCTTCAATTCATTCAATTAATATTTAATTCGAAATTCAAGTCTGTTACCGTAATTTATATCATTGATTAATATTTCTAATTGGCACATTTAACTCCTACAATTATTATGTTAGTAACTCCTAATATTATTATTTGAACCCTAACCTTGAGGGTCCCCACGGTCCTACATCTCCCCTTCCCTAGAGCTTTGTGAGGAAGGTAAATCGCGAAATGTGTCCCAACAGGTCAGGGAACAAGAACTGCATGTACACTGTGCCTACAAGGAGTTCAATTTCATGTCTCAGAAATTGAACCCTCATACTACGGCTGCCAGCAAGACTTGAGATAACATCACTCCTGTCCTTTGCACCACTGAATATGCCTCAGGGGACGGTTGAAAGTTTGTTATAACACACACAGACGTGTGTGTTCTACATATGGGGATTGATTTAATGAACACTCATCTTATGTTAAGTACTAATTATGTGTCATATTGATCAATTGGTGGATAAAGTTTCAATTGTTAACATTTGATTTAAATTTTTTATCCACTAATGAACTAATATGACACGTCAACGGTACTTAGTATAAGATAAGCATCAATGTTTCGTTCATACACACATAGTACCTGAACGAAGAGGTTACACGACTTTTGAAAAGTGTATTTTATAACCAGAAGGCTAGACTTTCTAAACTTGAACTTTTATCTCCTAATTGATAATTCTATTGTGTTTGTTAATTTATAGATTATTTTATTATGTTTTCAATGTACAAATCACATGCTTAACTCATCTCTGGACGTGTTAGTTACTTATGTGAAAATGTTGAATAAACTAAAATGTAATGATATGATTACAACAATATTTTTTTGTACACAATATTTTTTTTAGTGATTGAATGTCCCAATTAATATATTAATGCAACATTTAGCACATTTGTTTCCTCATTAATATATTAATGCAACATATCAATTTTGTAACCTCAATTAAATAATAACCTAATGGATGGATTACAATGTAAATCATGAAGATTAATAAGAGTTTTGTTGATAAAAATAAAAACTCAATGGATGAATTATAATGTAAATCATGAAGATTAATAAGAGTTTTGTTAATGAAAAATAAAAAATTGATTTGTTGATGGAAAATAAAAATTGTAAGAACAAAATACTCAATTGAATGATAAATCCCTAAATTTCTATTGATTTTTTTTTTTTTAATAATTGAATGTCAGTTTCACTCCTTATATTAATTTCAACCCAAATAATAAATATCAATTAAATATTTCACCATTTATATTAATTCTAAATAAAATGATAAATATTAATTAAATTGGTAATAAGGACTTTGTTGATGAAAATAAAAAATTGTAAAGAAAAAAAATCAATTAAATGTTAGTCATTGAATTTCTGTGTGTAATTTATTTTTTATTCATTGAATGCCATCATTAATTTATTAGTACAATCTTTAAAATATTTGTAATAATAGCTTAATGGATAAATTATAATATAAAACATGCTGATTAAAAATTGCTCTGAAAATTAAAAACTCATTATATGAATTATAATGTAAATAATGAAGATTAATAAGGGTTTTGTTGATGAAAAATAAAAATTGATTCATTTGTGGAAAATAAAAATTGTAAAAGCAAAATGGTCAATTGAATGGTAAGTAACTAATTTTGGGTGTGTGTGTATTTTTATTTTTTTATTTTTTATTTTTTTTTTATATAATTGAATGTTAGTTTCACTCTCTATGTTAATTCCAATCCAAAATGATAAATATCAATTAAATATTTCACTCCTTATATTATATTAATTCTAAACCAAATGATAAATACTAATTAAATTTGTATTCCAATTACGAGGGTATAGTGGGAAGTGCTACATGTACATAATTGTCTATATAATGGTGTCCATAATTACATGTAACACTGGATCCAACCTTTAATTCAAATTTCACACTTTTACATCAACAATCGGATGATTGTCACATCACATTATGGACACTATTATGTGCAATAATTATGTACATATAGGCTTTTCCTAAATTATATTGTAGAAGATGTAGATGTAGATAGATTTAGTTGTTTTTAAATTCAAATTAAAAAAAATTATTTGTCTAAGTACTTTAAATAAGCCTAGCCAAACATGCACTCGGTCAATGTTTTCTTGCGAACAAGTCTCAACTAATCATTTTCTGCCAAAGTTTCCACATTTTTTTGTAAATATAATCCACGGTACGCTCATGGTATTACTAAGTGAAAGGATTGAAACTTTTTACATATTTTTCTACATTTTATGAATTTTAAGACTTATTTGATGACACAGACCTTCTCAATTCTTAGCTTAACCTTGGCATTTTTTATTGTTGTGTAAAGCGACTAGGTTTAGGATAATAAAATAATGAACTGTAAAATATTTCTAAAAAAAAAAAAAAATATCACTTTTTTATTAATATCGAAAGGAACCCTTTACATATTTATTAATATCGAAAGGAACCCTTTAAATATTTATTCCACACTTACATGCAAGACGTTAAACACTTAATAACAAGCATAGAAAATAAGCACTCAACTTTCTAGATTACATAACTTTTCCTTATTTCATTTCATATAAGTAGATAATATTCGACAAGTTCCAGTTCAAGTTCAAGTCCAAACCGTCACATCATTATTTTTGCATCTAAACCGTCCATTTCAATCAAGGCTTCCCAATATGATGACTCTCGATATCCTTAGTGAGATCAATGAAGAAGGCAAGCAGTGTAATTGGATGTGGAACATCCTCGTTAGGCATCTCGTAGTCTAGAGTCCACGTTACCAAGTCGATGTCCCCTTTGGTTTCAATATGAATTTTTATGATGAAATTCTTGTAGAGCTCCATCAAATCTCCTTCAAGCATCTTGAATGTTATTGACTTTTTCTCCTCATCTATGGCTTCAACCACTTGCTTTGCAACCCTTTTTTTCCCATCTGTGCTTCCCACAAAGTTAAATTAATAAAAGGCTATCAAAATTCTTGAGTTCTCTTAAAATTAAGTTATTAAATAAGTAATGGGTTTTTGAGAAACAAAGAATATGGTTTTTTAAGGTTTTCACGCGCTTTATAGCTATAACAATTATGGTCGCCTTTTATGTGATCTGTTTTGAGAAAGATTGTTAGACATCATGGAAAAGAGTACAAGAAGAAACCAGTTGACTTAAATAAAGAGGTTTTAAAATAACTAGATCGCAAGTATTTAGGTGACTCTTATAACCTCAACAGTAAATAAAGAGGTTTTAAAATAGCTATAACAATTATGGTCACCTTCTATGAGATCTATTTTGAGAAAGATTGTTAGACATCGCAGAAAAAAGTACAAGAAAAAATCGTTGACTTAAATAAAGAGGTTTTAAAATAACTCGATCGCGAGTATTTAAGCGACTCTTATAACCCCAACAGTAACTTTTCATGACTTGTGGAATAAGATCGTTTCATACAAGGTGAAAGGCTCTCTACTTTTGATTGATTTTATATCATTCGCTCAATGAGTAAATGGGAAGTTGTCACAAAACCCGCGGTCGATTTTATAATAAAGTAAAAGGTGAATATGGGTTTACCATGAGTGTACTTCCAGCAGATAATGGAGCCTTCTTTTCCAAATTCTCCTTGGTGCAAGTCACAGCCATGAACCTTCTCAGGAGCGGTGGTGGAGACATGGTGTGGTCTGTGTGTGAATAATTCATGAAAGACATCTCCCCCAGCTTTGAACTCTATTTGGGCTACCAATTTTCCAAGTAATCCCATTATCGTAGATTGGATTTAACCTAATGCAGATGAACACATTACTATGTATTTTCGCCCTATTATATAGTTGAATCGTAGTTGACGGTGGGATCAACTTGTGCTATTCTAATATTTCCCCTTTTATTTTATTTATTTTCTTTTAAGAGTTTCGTGTATACTTTAAAAAATCGATGGACAATGACTTCTATAGTTAAATACCAACAAATAAGGGCGAAATTGCTGCGTTGGTCCCCAAGCTATTGACTTAATTTGTTGCAGTATTGTTTGTTTCTGGGTGAGGTGTTCCTCAACTTATTAATTTCGATGCAGTAGCTAGTTTCCACCCGTTTGGCCATTGAGTAGTCAATTTTATTTATTTATTATTATTGAAAGACCATTTTATCCTTATTTTGATTAAGTGTGCTAAAAATATAAAATAGAAACGAGAAAATGGAAGAAATATAGAAGGATAAAAAAGGAAAATTTTACTTGTACATAATTATTGCACATAATAGTGTCCATAATGTGATGTGACAATCATCCGATTGTTGATGTGCAAGTGTATGATTTGAATTAAAGGTTGGATCCAGTATCACGTATAACTATGGACACCTTTATGTAGATAATTATGTACATGTAGCACTTCTCAGAAAAAAAGGTCTCTAATGTTCCCCCACCAACACCGGTGTCAACACACCATCATCTGATTAACATGGACAATCGTGATTAACACATTGAGAACTATCCACTTCAACTAGTATTTCCACGCATTTCACCACTAAAACAAATATTTTCTACATTCCACGAATATTATAATATCAATCGAGCTAGCGGGTCCAAATCGACTCTTCCCACGACAAATAATGACAATGGCCAATCATAGAGAATAACAATGATTAAAGAACTAGTAACATGAAATACTGTTGTTGGAAAGCAATGAAACTGAGAATTTGGACTTCCGTCTCTCTATCGCTCTCTCTATTGCCTTACCAAAATAGTTTCGTTACCAATTTACTCCCCAAAATTATAACAAATGAGATGCACGACTTGTTTGAGGGCCAAAATGATAGAAAACATCTTATAAGGACCAACACAAAAAAATAGATAAGTTTGGGACCATGCTGCCAAGAAAGTTAAGGTCCACTGTTGCAAGTTTCCCATAAATAATTGTATGCAAGATGCATGAATCGAGTGTGTATTTAATATTATTTTTCAGAGTATAGTAATAAGATAGAGATAGAGCGTTGAGCATTTATCGTACATTTTCTAGAGAAAGATCATTGATAATTTATTTATTGTTGTAATATAATAAAATAATTATTAATGATTATTTAATATTATCATGATACATATATGTGTTTTATCTAGTTTAGACAATTTATTTCATTTCAATTGTAGCTCTTATTTTAGACTATATAAATATAGGACATTGATTCTTAATAATACATACAAGTTTATTGACAGTACAATTGCTCAACATATGAATTTGACTCATCATTGTATTGAGACGATGACTTACGGAATTCTAAATTTGAAGGTTTCTTGAAAGACACAAAATTCCTTATCGAAACAACCATGACAGAGGTACTTTGTTGCTTTGTGGAGGAAATGGTGGGCAATGGCTGCCCCACCCGGTATGTTTTCCATAATAGCCTTTGACCAAGTAATTTGTTAAAAAAAAAAAAAAAAAATGTAAACAAAATGTGTAGGGTCGAAAATACCCTCATTTAGAGGAAAGAAGAGAAGAGAAAAAAGAGAGAAAAAAGAAAAGAAAAAAGGGAAAAATCAGCTACCGACTCTACGACATCGCCTACGGACTGCCCGGACCTCACCAACTTCGACCAAGACCAGAGCCACCTCGGATTCGCCGGAGACCGTCATTTTCTTGAAGGTTAGACATGTTTTCTATAAATAACTACTTTGAATTTGTGAAAGTTTGAATGTTTAGGATATGAATATGGGTTAAATTCATGTTTCTATAGTTAAAATGTAAGAAAATATCGAATTTGAGGTTAAAATCTTGAAAAAAAGTGAAAAAAAGGGGCGGAGCTCGCCGGAAATGGAGTTTCCGGCGAGCCCCCGCCGGGTTGGTCCGTTACGGACCAAACCTTTGGTCCGTAACGGACCATCTGACGGTCCGTAACGGACCAGATGGTCCGCTACGGACCACACCGGGCCCGGATTTTGGTCCGGGTAACCGGCCCAAATCCGGGTCCGTCAAATATATATAAATTTTTTTTTTTTTTTGGTTGTTGTTGTGTGTGTGTTAAGAAATAAAATGAAAAATAAAAGAAATAATATATTAAGAAAATTAACGAAATATTTAAAGATAAATTAAATTGAGTTTTAATTTTTGTTCTTTTCTACTTAAATATACGCTTCAAATAAATAATCGAAATAGAGTATTTAAATATGAAATAAATAATATACATAATTAACGAAATATTTAATGAATAAATTTAAAAAAATAATATTTTTTTTACTTAAAGAATTAAGATAATGAATTAAAGAAATAGTACGAAAAGTAAAACAGACAAGCAATAACCTAAGACAGTAGCATAAAACAAGAAATACAATAAAACATGATATTTTCATGTCTGTACAAAGAAAAGATCCAAGAGTAGTTAAACTAATTACTTAACCTATTTCTCAATTGAACCTCTCTAATTACGATCGACCCTTCTTTTCCAATTGTATTTCTCGAATTAGTCATCCTCAAGCAACACTAATGATGCTGCTATCTCCATTTTTGAAGCTTGACATCACCTGGAATACTGAGTACCTTGTCGAAGATGACCGTTCCCTATCCTGACCAGACGACAATGACAGACTCAAAGATAATGGTGATGACCCGGTTGGGACATTCTGGTTAAGATCAATAACTGTTGAGGCAGTTGACATGGGAAGAACAGAAGCTGGATGAATGAGTAGGGCAGATGAATTATTCGTTTGATCGTGTTGGCTGAGAGGGGGATTTTCAATTGGATTTTCAACTTGCATTGGTGACAAAACTGGACCAATGGTCACCGAGAAAGGCACGACCGAGAATCCACTGATGTTGGAACTGTCCGGTGGGGATAGAGAGATTGGCTGCAGAACTGGCTGGGACGTGCCATCTTGACGGCCTTTACACTCTTCAATCGGCATTGCATTAACCTAAACAGTCCAAAACAGAACTTTAAAGGCCATGCATATATTATATTATACAACATCCGAGACATAACAATAATGACAATCCAAACCTTGTAATAAGTTTGAAGTAGCTAAAAAATTCTTTTTTGCCACTCAGATCATGTTAGTTTTGATCTACCCCACGCCCCATTCTAACTTATCTAGCTCAAGATCTCCATTGCATCGTACGATATATCGATCCAGAGAACTTACTAAGCCCAAGGGTAAATCAATCCTTTGAAACTAGTTCAATAGCAGAGGATCCATCATGCAAAACATGGCGATCATTAGAAATTCACGATAGAGCAATCCTTAGATAGCAAGCACTAGCTCCCAGTGTGACTTCGCTTTTTCATTCACGATTCTATGTTCTAGATTCCTCATCACCCCTTGACGTTTTCCCTTTGGGTTCTCAGACCCGTAGGATAATCGATCAAATACACCCCCCGCCCCACTCTAACTTGCGTTAGCCAAGATTGCATTACTCTCTCCGGCATGAACCTCTTCAACCACTTTAGGCCCTGATTGGGATAACTTTAGCTTCTATTTATACTTTTGCTTTTGCATCTTGGAGAAGATTTTCCTAAGGAAGCCACTTTAGAGCTTCCTCTAAAATTGAACAGGATAAAAGCAGCTTCTTACTCGAAGCTTAGGTTTTCAAAAGCCATTCTAAACAGGCCATAAGTCTCCTTCCCTGAATTGTCACACAAATTTGCTTCAATCCAAGAAACAAGTGGAGAACAACATGGCTTAGCATTCATAAAGTTCCTTTTTTTCACTTTAAAAGATGACTTGTGTCTCTCAAGAAGTACGGAAAATACAAACTTTAGGAGAAAGTGTTATCTGCAGCACATTAATCAAAATAAAACAGCTTGAAATGAACTAACCAAAAAGAAATATGAAACATAAGATCCAATTATATTTTCCCACAATAAGCAGAAATGGAAGCACGTATATTGTGAATTTTCCTAATTAATAAAATTACCGAGTCAGTGGTGATGTCGAATAGGCTAGAACGGCGGCGACGTCGATTGAGGTTACTTCGACGGAGAAAATATTTTTGGGCATGGCTGGCAACTTGGGTTGGCGTACGAGTTTTGACATAATTTCTAGAGATACCCCTCCAGTCTCCTTTTCCTACCTTCTGTAATCCAAGGAGGAATAGCTTGTGTTCTTCCTCCGTCCATGGCACTCCTATATACAACAATCCCAAACCAACAAGAAGCGAATCAAAGTCAATCCAATTACAACAATAACAAACTCAGCCTTTTTACAATAAATTTGAGATTATCTCATAAGATTTGACAAAATTTTACACTGGTCATAAACGCTTTGGATTGACTATGAAGAACTCAGTTGAGATCTAAAAACATTAATAATCACCATAAGTCAAGAAATAATTTATTATTCTGTTCAATAACCAATTAGGCTTCCTTGATCTAATAATCTTCCGTGTATCTAGAAATTCAGTTTAAATTTGAAAAACATGATTTCCATCAAATTCAGATTAAAGTCTTTTGTGAAAGATAGTCTACTAGCTGAGTAGCTGTGAAACGTATCATTCATTTAAAACTTGGGAGATTTTCATAAGACGAATAAAAAATCCAAGGCCAATTCATGAAATCTATAAAATTACAATATGTGATCCTTAAAAATGGAAGGATATAATCACTATAAGTGAAATATTCTACTCATTCATAGTTCATAATTCACAAATTCGATTAAAAATATTTATTCCAGATCTATGATTAAGTGATTATAACTAAACAATTAAAAACAGATCTAACCTCGTTTACGCTCACGACTCCCACCAGCCGGCTGCAGCGCGGCGTCATCGGCGGAAGCATAACAGGTGGTGGCGCCACCATCCTCCACCGCCATGTTCGAGTTCTCATTGATGTTCTGATTGTTATTACTAACAATTCGCGGATAATCAGAAAGATTATTCATACTGACGCTCTTCCTCATGGGGTCAACTTTTACTCTGACACCAAACAACATAATTTCTCCAGAACCACCACCACCACTGACTGTGGAGGACGGCAGGTGGAGCTCGCCACACGCCGGAGACATATTGGATTTTGATTTGCTAAGGGTGAAGGGAATCAATAGAAATGATGGAAGGAGCAGATAGTGGAGTGGGTATTTATATTGTGAAAAAAAAAAAGGCTTTGTGAGATGTGATGGCCGTACAAACAACAATACGAAAAGGAGATTGGTAGGGTGGGACAGAATTTATTTATTTTTATTATTATTTTTTTGGTTATGAGTTGTTTACTTAAAAATAAGTAATTTAAAAGTAAACTTGATTTACTGGCTTGGGTCGATGAAGCTTCTATTCTAACAATAATCTCGTTTTTTAGGAGAGCGGGTGAGTCGGGTGGCTTCCTTTCTTTCAGTGAGGACAAAGAGACGAGAGCTAATTTATGGTTCCTTTGATTTCGTGCATCATAACTATTCATATATATGGGTTCTCCAAAAATCGGGACTTGAGTATTAAACTTGTTTTCTTTCAACAAGGATGGAATATGATGATAGCCGATAGTTTATCCTTCGCTTTCTTTCACTCAATGGATCCATTTGCTCGGATACAATATATTACAATAGACAATGGTATGCAGTAGGATAAATGGTATTGAAATTAGGGGTGGGGCGGGATTGGTTCGGTTCGGTTCTAAGGAGAACCGAACTGAACCAAAATTTTCAGGTATCTAGCAAATGGAACCGTCGGGTCCAAATATAATTATGGAACCATTCGGGTTCGATTCCGTTCGATTCAGTTCGGTTTCGTTCCTTCCGTTCGATTTTGTATTATAATTAAATTTTTTTTAACATTTATAACAATATTATATAAATACAACTAATGATACATTCAATGATTTTGGAATGTCGAAGACTAGTAGACTACCTTATTCAAATGATCGCTACGGTCAAAGTTTTGGTCGGCGGAGGTCACAGCGTCGGTCGACGATTGTATAGGTTTTGGAATGTTAGCGAGGTTGCGAGAGTGGAGACAACATTATGTACTTTAGTGTAGGTGTTTAGGGTTATTTAGTGAATTTGATTTTGTTGGGCTAAGAAATGAAATAATAAAATGAGTAATTGGGCCAAATAAATTATTGGACCAAAAATTTGGATTTAGAAATTGTTAATTTGTTTAGAAAAAATTAAAATTAAAATAATTTGATTTACTCAATATAAAAAAAATTAAAAAGATTCGGTTCTTGGTCTAAAATCGAGAACCAAACCATACCCGTCGGTTCTCAATTCAAATATCCGTTCGGGTATTTAAATTGACAAGAACCGTTGGGTTTGGTTCGATTCGATTCAGGAGATTTGCTCAACCCTAATTGAAATAACTGGATTTCTTGGTTGTGAATCGAAGCGAACTTGTTTGTTTATTTCATAAAAACAAACAAAAATAGTATGGACACCTTTGTCAAATAGATCATAATTTTTTTTAGAAACAACATGAATTGAAATTATTGTATTACGAGAAAATAAAAACCTGATGGATCATTTTCTCCTTATCTTCAACTTTCATTTTCCATCTTTACATATCTTCCTTTACCTCTTACAAAAAGTGGGATAAGGATTTTGATGCAAGTAAAAAGGTGTTCAAGAAGAATTTCGCATGGTAGAAGATTTTTTATTTTTATTTTTATTTTTAAGGTTAATTTATTTACGGGCGATTTAAAGGACACTTGGCAATTAAGCAACGGTTCTATCCGAATCTCTTCCAAGTAAGTATTAATGTATTATCCCTTCTCATTGAAAATCTCAATAGACTCCTTCATCATTGGCCCACGAGAGGACCAATGATAAAGCCATCCAATTCTTCCTCTATTTTTATTTTTATTTATTTATTTTTAAATAAATTTGACTTAAATTCAAAACGATAATTAAAAAATATATAATGTTATTAACATCAGTGATTTTTATCACCACCATCAGTGTCAAGCAATAGTTTATGTGACAATTATATGATATTACATGATAAATTGAATATATAAAAAATGATCACTTAAATTGGTGCTAAATAATATTATTCTAATACTAATGATGATGAATAGTATTACTCTTCAAAAATTGTAGGTGGGGCATCACATGATAATATAAGGTTAGATGAGTCATCAACAGGCAATATTGTCTTTGACAAAAAATAAATTATTATCTAACTAATTAGTTAATTAATCAATGGTCCATTCTCTATTATTTACAAAGATTGTGACATTATTCTTTTTCAATATATTGAAAGACATACGATTTGGATTCGTGACATAGGAATCATCCTTCTTGTATTTTAAGGTGTTAAGCGTGGCTAGAAATCGAGCAACTGTTTTCTCGTGCGAATCGTTCATCAAATCATTTGAATTGGCTCTCAAGCTCACCGACTCATCATAATGAGTAAAATATGTAATTTAACTTAAAAAGACTCCCCACCAAGGGAAGATTTCATGGGCTGAGTTGAGCCACACTTTAGTTGAACGATCCAGCTTGCACTTGGCTCGCCCCATAGGAGAAAGCGAATGGGCTCGTCTCATTTAAAATGCTATTGTATTTATTTTATGAATTTTGTGTAAACTTTTTGCATTACAATATATATATATATATATATAATTTCTTTGTTTGACAAAAAATTTTTAGATTATAAGTTAGTGGGTTCAAGAATTGTATGATTAAAGAGTTGATCCAATGAAATATATGGATAAAAATGAATTATGACTAATAATTTCAAAAAAATGCTTTGTGAAACTTAGTCTATTTACTCTGAAATTCTTAATTATTTTTATTACTTATTAGAATAAATCCAAAGATGAATTAAATGCGAAAAGCTCTCTTTACATACTAGTCCATGATTTTTATTTTTTTGAGCTACCGCTACATGCACAGGGACGGATTCAGGATTGGATTCAAGATCGGGCTACAAAATTTCAAACCGGGCTACTACGCGAGAATTTTTTTTTTTACACATAAAAAACTGATTTTTTACCCAAAAAATATAAAAAATACCTTAAAAAAAACTATTGGACCTGAGTGTTGGGGGGGGGGCTACAGCCCAGCCCAGCCCAGCCC